TCTCTCTCTCTCTCTCTCTCTCTCTCTCTCTCTCTCTCTCTCTCTCTCTCTCTCTCTCTCTCTCTTTCTCTCTTCCCCTCTCTGTCTCTCTCTCTCTGTGGCACAAATTGCTTGACATTATGGATTATGGAATTGGAGAGGGTGTGAATTGGTAGTCAGAGTGTGCATTGGGCTATGCCATTGTCTATGTTCTCCTGTTGTTGGCCCCTTATCATGGTCTTTTTCCCTCTTCTGAGGGGGCAAATTGTTTAAGATTGTCACTTGTTGTTGTTGTTTTTTTTCGGAATCTTTCCTGTTCTGCGGGGGTTTCTATTTTCCTCTTGGTGTCCTTGGATGCCACAATCTTATCGTGCTTTGCCTTGGCGGATGGAGTGGATGCTTTCTTGATCAGTATGAGGCACTCTCAGCACAGGGAAAATTGCTTCACATCTCCCTGTCATGAGAGGGTGTCATCAAGAGGTTATGCCTTTTGTCGGTTCTTTGCATTGCAGATCATTATAATGGTCCCTGTTTCTTTGCTATGGCTCTAGCAAATTTCACAACAAAACGTGTTGGTGGGTGTTGCTTGAACATTTCTGTTTTTTTTTTCCCCTCAGCTTGACATATCGTACGACCGATTCGTCAGGACGACCGATCTTCGACATAGAAAGGTGAGAGTTCATGTCATCCTTCCATTGCTAGCAGCATGGCCGCACTGCTGCACGATGCTCTATGTTGCCTTCCCAAAATGTGACCATCGAATTCGGTTAACCTGCTGAAGTTGTTGTCGACAGGAATACTAGTTACATGGATAAGATGTTATTGAGTGTGGAAAGTACCACTTTGCCTGTTCCGGAATCCCTTCAGGTTGTTCATTGCTTGGCGTATCAGGAATAAACTTCAAGAAAGACAGATAAAAAAAAAGAAGAGGAATGGACCTTGAGTTTGTTATAGCTTTGGTGAACTGTGTGACATTTTGAACCCAGGTACATGATACAATTCCCATGGTATAAGGGAAACTATGAAACGAGAACAGAAATCCACTAAGAAAGAGACAAGCACGCTGCCCGGACTAACCCAGGCAGGCCAGGTCCGGGCAAAGTCCTGGGCAAGGTCCTGGGCAGCCCCAGTGCAAAATAAATAAATAATTAAAATAAATTATTAAAATAAATTATTAAAATATAAATAAATAAATGAACAAATGTCAAAGACATCCGAATAATACATATGTTATGTAGAATCACAAATCAAACAACTTTGGCCAAGGGTCACTCACAAATTTGTTATTTGAATTGAAAATAGAAAAGAATAAAAAAAGAAAAAAAAGAAAAAAAAGGGAATAAAAAAGATAAATTATCTTTCAAAAAGAATAAAGTTAAATTATCTAGCACCCTCTAAAGCCTTTCCAAACCCTTCTAAACATTGCTTATACCCCATGTACCTGTGGCTAGATTTGGGCACATCAGTGGTTCTTTTATCGTCATTTTTCGCTTGCCCAGGTGACCTGGGGAGGTGGGCTAGGGTCGCCTTAGCCCCATGGATGGCCGGGCAAGTGGCTGGGGGCCACTCTGGCAGACTAGGGAGGCAACGACACAAAGCAACAATACCCAGCCACGTGTGGCTGAATGGTTCTCACATCCAACTGCCGACGAACAGATCATGAGTTCAAATTCTGATGTAATCAGGTTGACACAAATGGTAGGGGTGGGAAAGAAAAGGGAAAAGGGAGTAAAATTATAGTCTAATGTTTTCTCCGCCTGTCCAGCCATAGTAGGTTCCCCGGCAAACCCCCTCCGTTTCTACTCGTGGTTTAGTACAACAGAGACCGATAACAGATGAATGCTGACGAACATTTCACAAAATGTTTTTGCAAGGAAAGGTTAAAAAGAGCAGGAAAGAGGTAAAAAAAATGGAATGGAGTAAGAAAGGAAGGAGGGAAGAGAGCAAGAAAGGAAAGACTTAAGTCGAAGAGATGATTGTCCTCTCGGTTTCCCCGTGTTCACTTTGTGCAGTTGTGGAAAATGAAGGAACTACTTGTCTGGGATGCTGTGCTGCATCCGCATGGAATCTAGCTAAGTCGGAGCTGTGGTTTGTCTGGTTGCGAGAGTACATACCATGATGCATGGGCATTTAAACTGTTTTATTTTGAGATGACCGAGGACAGGCTGTATATGCACTATGATTTTCTTGTCCTTTCGGAGTACAACTTAGGGCTGCCAACGTCTTTTGCTGCGTTCAAGGGATGATGTCATATTTCAAATTAAAAGGGAACAGAGAATATTCAACCACGTGAAAGACACATTCCTACTCGAGTCGTGGTAACCACTACGTTCTGTTTTCCTTGGGTCGTGCTCCACCAACTTACTTTGAGGAGTTTCCTTGAAGAGTTGGGGGCTCCAATGCCAAATTTGAGAATGTTCACTTTCGGGAATTTTGCCCGTCTTCACTGAGAAATCGGTTCTCCTCACTTGCCCGTTATTCCGCTGCAAATTCAAGGTCCTTAAATTGGGAATGGCAGAGCAGGGTCCTGTTTTCCGAGAACTCGTTTGCTGGCCCGACGAAGACTGCACTGAGGCCATCCGTTCCAGTACTGCTCCTCAGATGGCGGCTTCGGGGCTGGAAAAGTTCCCAAGAGCAAAGAAATCTGTGGGTAGTGGAGCCTCGTGGAGTATAACAAATTCACTGCCGTACTTAAGTTGAAAAGGGGAGAGTCTCCGAAGAAGTACGGTGGAGCACGAGCCTTTTTTCCACTCTTCCCTTGGATCCCAACTTCTTTATTGCTTTCCGTTTTTTCCTCCCTCTGGCCCCTCTCGCATTGTTGTGCTGAAGGAGGCATGCATCAATTACACTTGAAAGTGAAGAACGTTTTCCTCCTCCCTGTTCTCTCTCTCTCTCTCTCTTTCTCGGTCTCTTGCTCTCTGTCGCTCACTCTGTCTCTCTCTCTGTCTCTCTCTCTCTCTCTCTCTCTCTCTCTCTCTCTCTCTCTCTCTCTCTCTCTCTATGTATATATATATGGCACATTGGGATGCGGACAGCTCGTGCTCAACTTCAATGAACGTGGTGAGCCTTGTACATGAGAGTTATGGTAAAGGGGGAGTTAAAAGAAGAAGAGAAAAATGAATGGTTTCAGTGTGCTCTTCATGATTGTCTTGTGTTTTTTAATTGTTATCGTTTGTTTTGCGAAGTGCACTCTTCTACTTCATAGATACGTGACTATATATACATATATACCGCCTTTGTCACAGCCCCTCATTTGTTGTCCTCTTCTCTCTCTCTGCCTACGGTTTACCGGGCAGTTCTGTTTGTGACGATATATACCGCCTCAGGGTATCAGTTGTCGGGCAGTCGTTGATGCTTAACCACAACCGGGGTTAAGGTGGATTATCACTTATAGAAGTTAGTGCAATCAGTTAGGGAATTCTGCAGACTGTTATGGTTCGGCCTCCTGATGAGTGACTGTCGGTGAAACTCCGACGAAGCAGTTTGTCACTGCCCCTCGTTTGTTGTCCTCTTCTCCCTCTCTGCCTACGGTTTACCGGGCAGGGACTCATCCATCAGGAGGCTGAACGCTAACAGTCTGCAGAATCCCTCAACTGATTACACTGTAAGTGATAATCCACCTTAACCCCGGTTGTGGTTAAGCATCAACGACTGCGCGGCAACCTGTGTATCTATCTATCTATCTATCTATCTATCTATCTATCTATCTATCTATCTATCTATCTATATTTTGTCACATAACTATCAACTAAAAGAGCGCAATGTGCGAAACAAACGGCAAAAAAAAAAACAAAAAAAAAACAAGACAAACATGAAGGGCACAGTGAAACCATTCATTTTACTCATTCTTCTTTGACTCCCCTTCCACCGTGCCTGTCACGTATATATATATGTATATATATCCTGATGAGTCGGTGAAACTCCGACGAAACAGTTTGTCACAGCCCTTCGTTTGTTGTCCTCTTCTCTCTCTCTGCCTACGGTTTACCGGGCAGTTCTGTTTGTGACGATATATATATATAGAAACTGCAGAAAAAAAAGGTAAACCGACTCCCATTCGCTATAGACAAGAATTCAGTGCTACTGCTTTTCATTGTCTACACTTTAGAGATATCAAAAGGTGGATTATCACTTACAGTGTAATCAGTTAGGGGATTCTGCAGACTGTTGAGGGTTCAGCCTCCTGATGAGTCGGTGAAACTCCGACGAAACAGTTTGCCACAGCCCCTCGTTTGTTGTCCTCTTCTCCCTCTCTGCCTATGGTTTACCGGGCAGCTCTGTTTGACTATAGACCTTTCGTGGATGTTTTGCTGGCTTGTGATGGGGTGTGAACC